TGAAATGATACTGTACATGGTAGGGCCAGGTCTTCAGGTGTAATACATGTGGAGATGGAGCATGTGCAGAGCACAGTAATACCTTCCCCCGAACAGAAGGTTTGCCTGCGGAAATGATGTCCTCTAGTGGACAGCACTCTTTACCAAAGCACAGGCCTCTGTCATTGGATCCAGTGAGTTGAAAACTCGGTGCACTGGGAAGTAAACCTAGCCCTGCTGTGAAACCACAGCCATGCTGCCTTTCTTCACGGGCTCTGCCTTCTCCACAGCTTGAATCAGCTTTTACGTACACTTAACTGCTGCTGAAAAAGTAAACCATGACTTGATTCATCCCTGTTTACAGCAGAACTTCACCAGCAGGATCAGCACAAACACTTTGGGAATGAAAGAGCAATGATTTTATACCTGAAATGTATTAGTGAGAGAGCAGAGTAGAACAGTAGGCACAGTCCAAAAGCTTCAGTTTAAGAATCACTTCAGCATCTCCTAAAGGCCACCTTCTCCTTGACAATGCACAAATCAATGGTGAGGTTGTTAAGCAGACGACAAATCAAAAGGCATCAGGCTGATCCAAACACCCCTACCAGCCACTCATGTGCACTGGCAGTATCACCAATGTAGCAGACTAGTCCAACAGACCGTCCAGGCTCAGGTGTGCTTGTACCAGACCTTCCAAGAAGAGGCATTCAAGCAGCCTGGGGTAAGAAGAGAAGCTTTCATTGGATGCACTTACAGCAGTGAGCTTTCCTCTAAAACTAATTCAATGCAATCATGTTCCTGCTACAATACTACAGAGTTCAAGTTTTGCAGCATCCCCAGCAGTTTGCTACATCTTTTGCCTGGTAATAATTAGAATTTGCCAATCAAGCCTAGACATAAGCAGATGCCACAGACAGGCAACCATAAAAAAAACACTCCTGAATACTACTACCACACCAACATAGTTAGCTGAGACAAAACAGCACACAGCGTTCTCATACCTACTGAAAACTCAGTCTTTTATAGAAGAAAGTATTGAAGACTGAATCTCAATAAAAAACTAAGCAAAACTTGACTGTTGCACAATTAAAACATTTCCACTTGTTAAAACGTGCATTAAAATTGTGGCCATTTTGAATTCAGGCACAGTTTTCCATACAAAACTAAAAAGCACAAGTCATTTTTCCATTTGAAAGAGACACTGGGCAGAAGGAACGACCTCTGCTATTGCCACTCATCGGTGTTGTATAATAATACTTCTTTCTGGTTCTGCAGGTTCCTGATGCTTCCTGCCTACCCATTAAGTGATTTAACTGAGCTACCCACAGAGTGTTACCTAGTGACTACGCAGCTAAGACTTACTGTAGGCCAAAATTACTCACTGTTATTTTCTATTTATGTTTTATTTCTTCTTTAGCAATCGTAAAACAGAAGATGTACTTTAAAAAGATGTGAATTTAACTGCTGGAGGCACTCTCAGGCTCAGGACCTCAGGCAAAACAGAGGGAGATGCTGACCCTCTCTCTCATTGTTCCAAAGTGAAAACTCGGACCCCAGGACAGGGGCAGCTGGCAGAGAGGCAGAGGGGAACAGGAGGCAAAGGGGGAGAGCGCACAACGCCAGAGGAAGATGGGAAGCCACAGAAGGGAAAGAGAGGGGGAGATGAAATTAAGAGTGGCAGGTTGAGGGGAAGGAAAACAGGAAACCAGAGAGAGGAGGCAAATCAAGGATTGGGAGGCCAGCGGAAGGGGGAGGCACTTAACCAGCCTAACTGGTAGCTGGTTATAAGGGATGTGACCCTATTTCATTCTTCCCACCAGGGAGGGCAGCCACCTGCAGCTGAGCCTGTAAAGACTCTAAAAGCAGCAAAACCCAAACTTTCTACACATTTCAGACAACAAAGAGTTTTCCATCTGTTTGGTTCCCAGAGCTCAACTGCAAAAAAGCTGGGGCAGCTTGGCAGCTGGCATGGGAAAGAGGTGGAAACGTGAAGAATTTTTCTTACTGTTAGCAGCAAGCCATCAGATCACCAAACCATACCTTCCATTAATGAACCTGCAGTACTCTAAGTACAGGGTGAGTCCTGCCCTGCTGAAATCTCTGTATTCTTGCAGTCTTGTGAATTGCAGACTTGGAAGCACTGCTAGCACTTCAGAAAGAGAAGAGGAAGAATTAAAAGGTACAGAAAAGCACAAAAGGGACTTCGGGGACAATTACTAGGACAAAGTTCCTGGTAGCAAGTACTTAAGAACGAGATGAAATGCAAAAATTCAGGAGGTCGCATCCTAAAGGTCTTTTCCAATCTAAACAATTCTGCTATTCTAAATGAGAGAAAATGAGCAGAAAGGTAATCCTGAAAGTGCAGTAAAGCAAGCAGTGTCCTAGAATGAACAAAGTCACTAGGTTTATTAGAGAAGCTGCAACCCTGAGAGGTTGGACTGACAGAGGCAGCAAACCAAGACAGGATTTCTAAGAGATGGGAAAAGGGTTGACAGGTACAAAGGAAAAACTGAAAGGTGAAGGGAAGCATTTAGGGAAGAATAAAATGGTCAGTTTTGGAAAGACAGCACCTTGGGCCAGGAAGTGGTGAGGAGAAGCAGCTTGAAGGCAGTCAGCAAGATTGAGCAGATACCAGGAAAGGGTCAGGAGCTCCCTTTATTCTCATTGTGGATGTGTCAGTCCCTAAATAAAATTCAAAAGGAGAGCAAAGAGCACAGCTGACAAAGCCAGAGACATGGTTAAAGGCAGAACAAAATACACACAAAATGCAGGTTCTCTTGTCAAGACAGTCAAGTGAAAGAGCGACCTGAAGGCACAGCCCAGATACCACCGTAGTCAGAAGTACCCAACATAACCAACTCCTCTTTCCCATTCCTCACACAGTGTCTTTCCTCTCATAGCAATTCAGCAGTGACAAGTTCCTGATTACCTACTCTGTCTATCCTTCAACTGGCAGTTCTGCAGCAGATGGTTAGGACAGGCATATATTTACTAGTGAATACAGGAAATAAATCAAGTAACAAAGTCATGCAAGCCTTTAAGCCCCTATTTTAAGGTAGCAGCAACATTTGCAGTGTTGCCCTTTATGGGATTACTGGCAAGATGGATGGAGAGAAGAGCAAGGCTGTCCAGGCTCTAAATCCTAGATCAAGCTTTCCTGCAAATGTGGTACATCTCTTAGAGTTGTTTTTTGAAGCTTCAAATGCCAGCTTCCCCACAGCAGAAATTAACTTCACCCCCTTCTCAGCAGTTTCATCACCTCCTCCAAACTAACTCCCCAAAACCAGATATGAATATTCTCTAACCTTTTCCTGCAATGACTGTAGGTGGACTGCCTGCATCACATCTGAAAGACTACTTTCACAGTGCAGGGATTTTGGCTTTCTGAGGAGGATCTGGCATTTTTGAGTCACTGCTGTCTGTTAAAAAATGAAGGAGATGAAGATCAGATACCACACCACCCCCACAGACATGTCAGGTAGTGATCTGTAGTTGCTGCCATGTGGTTTTGCAGTACACAATCCTGCAAATGTCCAAGTATTTCTGTGCAGGGACCATTCTAGCCTTAAGATCTGGTGGTCACTAGGTGTACTGAGACAAGTTGACTGCATCCAAAAATGACACATGTGCCTTTAGAAGCACATGTCATTCTCCAGTGATTAAACGGCACGTTTCATGGCTCCTAGATTTATGGTGTTTCTTTGCATTTGTGATGAGGTTACAGCACTGGCAAGGGCTACAAGGCAGGGTATATACAAGCAAAACAGTCACATTTATCTATTTGTGCATATTCCAGCTCACATAGATAAACTCAGCTGCCTCAATTTAACAACGCAGACACTTCTCCTGCTCCTAACCCTGACATGCTCTGCTGGAGCAACTTTTTGAATGGTCAAGTTATGCTTTTATTTGCAGTAAGCAGTAGTGACATCATAAAGATGGCATCAGGTTGTATTTTGTCTACTGAAGTGAGCGGAATCACATTCAAGAGAAGTATCATCCTTTAAGATCCCTGTGGTGCAAAGTTGGGTTTGAACAAGCAAACTATGTATGCAGATTACATTACTCCCATGCTACTGACAATGAAAGCAATACTGCCTTATTTTCCTGTCAGTTAAAAGGACTGAAAGCTAAGGCCAAATAAAGAACAATGAGACTTTTCCCCCATTTGTTTCTTCACCTTACAAAAGATGGAGAACAACTGTTTAGTTCAATACTGTGTTTGCATCTTCTGAAATGACTGGCGCTCTCATGTTCCAGAGCACTACATCTCTGGGCTGCCACTAATTCATGCCTATTTTGGGGAAAAAAATATAAGAATAAACACTACTAGGCAGACTTTGGGTTCAGCCCTAATGTTACCGTGCTGAGGTAAATCTGTGCCAAGAAGTGGCACCAAACTCCAGGCAACTTTCACCTACAGACCCGCAGGCACTCAGCCACAGCACAGTCAGGCCTTCACCTGCAAAGGCACCATCAAGAGGTCCCCGGCAGCTCTGCTCGCGTCCCTGCACACAGCGCGCTGCCACCGGGGCCGCCCGGCCGCTGCCGCGCACAGCCCCAAGGCACCCGACCTCCGAATTGCCCCGGCTCTGCGGGAAGCACGGGACACGTGAACGCGCACGGCGCAGGAGGGGCTTCACCCTCAGGAAGCGTTGCCCAGCAAACTCCCCTCTGCCATCCAAAGAGGAGCACTTGGCTCGGGCGTCCCAGGCCGTTCCTCCTCAGGAGGCGGCAGCCGCAGGGCTCCTTCAGACCGGGGGATCCTCCCCTTCCCGGCGCCGCGGAGAGCGCGCAGGAAGCCGGGGAGCAGCGACAGGCGCGGACTCGCGCGGAACCCCCGCAGCGCCGCACGGCCCCGGCCGACCCGCGGCAGAGCGGCCCCGCGCGTTGGCGGGAGCCAAGCCCGCAAGAGCCCGCGGTCACCGCTCCAGCAGGACGGCGGCGGGAGCCTCACCCCTGCGCGCGGGGCCGCGCGCGCTCCCCTCAGGGCTGCCCCGCGCCGCGCGCTCCGCGCTCACCTGGGCGCGGCGCTTTCGCCATCGTCGGGGCCGCCCGCTCCCGGCCGCCTCAGGTGCTCGCCTGCGGGGCCCTCCCTGCGCGCCGCCGCCCCGCGCGCCGCCGCGCCATCTGCTCCCGGCGGAGGCCCCGCACCGCCCACTCGCCTGCGGCGCTGGAAGACGCGGCCGGGAGAAGCCGCCGCGCCGCTCGCCCGCCCGCCGCCGCGCAGCCGCCGTCGTTAAAGGCGCAGCGAGCGGCTCCGCGGAGAGCGGGGGCCGGCAGGTGGCTGCTCGGAAACCGGCCTGGAGCGAGCGGCCCCGGTTCGGGTCCTCCCGCAGGGTTCACCTCGGTCTCCTCCGCGGCCGGGGTCCGCGCCGAAACACCTACACGGTGCGGCAGTGGCACACCTCACGAGACCTCCCAAGCTACTGTGGTTATATAACGCGGTGGTAGGAAAGGCTTGAACTTCGGTCAGGAGACACTACTACCGTATGGGTCACTTTTGAGGGGCGCTGCTTTTCGCTGCCTGCTCAGCTATCTCTTCCCTGCTCTCCTTTGCTCAGAGAAAGCAGACCCTGAAAAACATGTAAGAGCAACCTTTGCCTTTAATCAAAGGTGTATTAGGGTCTCTCTGAAAACACATTTTAAAATCAGATTCTGGCCTAGCCCTTGAAAGAAGGTTGGATTAGCATTTGATACCAGTTTAATAGGATTCGTTTGTAATCTGAACATGAACTGGTGCCCCACCTATTGGTCAACAGGTTTTTAAAGAAATCATATCAACAAACTTTCATTTTTCGCTGCTTCAGACTTTGTCATCTAGGAGTCAGTGCAGATGTGCTGCCTCACACCCAGCTTTGTCCTCCCCCAAGGAGGTAGTAAAAACTTAGACCTTTGCACAGTAGCTCTGGCTGTAAAAAAGCACAATCTCTATTGTTGCACATACAACCCACCACGATGATTCCAAAATATATTCATCATTAATGACTCTTTTGCACTGGGCTAGATGCAGTGACTGCCTCTTGGCAGGGCTGCCTGAGCAGGCAGTTAATGGCAGCCTCTGAAGGTAGCATGAACCACCTCCCTCCTGGGGAAGAGATTCATTTACATTGATTTGAACACTGAAAGCAGACAACTACCAGCCCTTGACAACATAAACCTCCACGAGTTTCTTTCTCCTGAAGACTTGAGAAAGATTCAGTGATTGCAACCAAATTCTTTTGTTACATAAAAGCACGTAGGTTTTGGGTTCCTTTTTTTTTTCCATGCATTACATGGGAGTTGTAGAACTGCTACAAGGGTAACAGCCAAATGACAATGTAAGAAAAATGCAGTATGCCAGGCAATGGCCTGAGCTCAAATGCCTTCCAATATACTTATACATCCAAGTACGTGTTGGGAAAAGAATCTAATTCCAAACACATTTAATTCTGAACACCTGGTTTGCTGGTGACCCAAGTTGTCCCACTTACAATAGAGCAGAGAAACTCCTCTCAAGACATAGCCTCTGTCAAAGGATGCTCCCCATCATTACAAGGTTTTCTGGTGAAGATGTCTAATTATAGAAATGACACCTTGTACAAAATGTGTTTTGCATGCTAATTCACGCAGAAAAAACACCAATGTAGTAGACAGTGCTATGTGTTGGAGGCAATGCAGAGACCTCTGAGGATGGGCACTCAGAGAAGAATGCTAACCAACTGATGCTACTGCCCCCCTGAAAACATCTGTCTACCTAATGATCCATCCCTGCTCAAACCAGGCAGGGAAAGCTGCTTCAGCTCTACACTTCAGATCCTAGGTGGCAAAGCTGAAAGTTGATTGTTTGCTATTTCCAGGACCAAGGTTAAGCCTGGCTTCTGTAGAGGTGTGCCTGCTGACACTAGGTTCAATCTGGTTTAAGCAGCCTTGGGAAACAAACCAGGAAACTGCTGAGGAAGGAAGGGGAATGGGAAATCTGTCTTGTAGAGCCAACGTTGTTTGTCCATAGTCAGAAGATAATTGCTTATTTCAAGAAAGGGTGAAGCTCAATGCAGTTCCATTAGCAATTATGGGACTTCAAGTGATACAGCAGTGTGGGACTTGGGGAAAGCAGCTGATGAGGAGGGTGTAGTGAAGGTCAGGAGAACCCTTTAAGCTCAGTTCCTATACCCTCCTTGAAGTCATCACAGAATGTGAGAGGCAGCCCTAAGGAGCAGACACCACACTGAATCAGAGAAAAGAGCAGGCAGTAGAGCAGCTCACAGCCAAGTGTTTCACGTCAGCCACCCACTAGAAATGGGTTGCACTGTGCTGCTTTACTTGGAAGGACTGAGAAATTCTCCGGCAGCAGATACACCTGCTTTGTGGCTGCTCCTGCTAGTGAAAGAGCCAAAGAAGCTGTCCAGGATCCAAGAACAAGCCTTGAGATGGCAGTTCTTGGAACATAACCTCAGATAGTTTAAGAGGCCTCTCTGCACTGTTTGCATGTTACCCACAGCCAAAATAAAAAAGAGAGGGTATGTTAGAGCTCAGCACTATGCCGATCAGCACTCGTGCTGATATTTCATTCTTTCAGTGTGGAATAGCTCAGATTTTGTCCTCTTGGCTCCCCAGTCTAACCCACTATTAAAGAATAACACGGGTTCTCCAAGCTCAATATTACTGATATTCATGGTACTTTATTGAGCCCTTTCTGATTTTTCCATTAAAAAAAAAAGAAGATGGTGATAAAATTGCAGGGTCTCTCCATTTCAGTGGATAAGAATGCAGCATCTGCTCTTTCAATGCGGAAAAGTCTATCGGTTTCCCAATGTTTCTTTTCATAAAGACAGTGTGTTTTCCTTAAAACATTGTTATAGTGGCTTGATGCATTGCTAGGAAGCCTCTTCCCAGAGCCTGATTGCTGGTCCATTGCAGAGCAAAATGTTAGGAAAGACCAGCAGGAGGAAGGACTATGGATAAACGCAGTGAGATTTGTTGATAAATATCAGCTTGATCCTAAATCCATCTTTTTTTAATAAATGAAGGACTGGGTTTTAATAAACCCCCCCCCCCAAAAAAACCCAGAAAACAAAACCAAACAACAAATAACTGGACACATTCAGGAGAACAAAAATTAAATGTTAAAGCAGTAATGCCACAGCACAGCTCTGCATGCTTTAGACAGTAGGCTATTTTTAGTCATCTGCTTCCTAACTGAAATGCTGAGGAGAGAGGGAGAAACCCTGATACCAGGCTTTCTGAAAGCATCTGTGGAGCATTCCTGTTCTGCAGCATAGCAGCTGTGCACAGACATACCCAACCTCAATTTCCACTGCCTTTCTCAGGCACAGGCCAGTCTCAGCTAGGGCAAACTGTTCACCCTGCTGCTGGGAGCAATACTGCAAGTGGCTGAGCTCTGCCACAGTCTGGGAGCTCCCAGCCCCCAGCCAGGCTTGTAGAGAGCCTAAAGAGTCAGTGTAACACTGCCCACAGGACTAAACATACACAATGCAAAATAAATCCATTGTATCTTTCCCCACAGCACTGACACTGATCCAGAGCCTTGCCCTCTCTGGGGCTATGCAGCAAGCCTCTGCTGGTCTTAGACTGGTATTGGGCTGGACTCCTTAGCAAAACCCACAAGGTAGAAGAGGTCACTAACTTTCACCCTAGGCCTGGGGAATGATGGTTGTGCCAGCAGGAAAAGTCCAAGCCTGCAACTGTTTCCAGGCTGTTTGTCATCTTCTAGAAATGGACTGAAATCTGGATTAGAAGCCAAGTTTATTTGGGCTTAGATTCAGAGACGAAAGGCACAAAGCAGCAAAGCGAAGTCCCTGGACCTCAAGAACATATAGTTTAGAGCCTGCACACCACCACCCCACAACCTACCCCCAAAACCCAAGGCTAACGAGGGCTGTTGGAGAAGCAAAATATAATGTTTCAGAAAGGGAACAAATGTGCTAGTTGCTGACTTATTTGATTTCTTTGTATTATTCTCTGGGCAGCCTTCATCTTATACCATTGGTTCTATTTCAGGCAGATTTTGGGACACTCTAAGAGACAGCTTAAGGAACTGCCTGTATGGAATTACCCAGCTTGATCTCCCTGGAGCATCTCAGTTTGGGTCCATTGGAACAGTGCTCTTTATGTTTCACTAACACTGTGGACTTCCTGTTCTGTGCCAGCTCAAAAAGTGACAAATTGCAACAATGAGTTAAAAAAATAATAGGAAAAAGACAGTCAGTATGTGCATTTTAAGAGGACACACTTAGAGAAGACATACTGAAGCAGATCTTGTATTTGGCAGATAACTGATGGACACACACATCGTGAACAGAGCCCCTTTACTGATGGACACACACATCATGAACAGAGCCCCTTTACTGATGGACACACACATCATGAACAGAGGCCCTTTACTGATGGACACACACATCATGAACAGAGGCCCTTTACTGATGGACACACACATCATGAACAGAGGCCCTTTACTGATGGACACACACATCATGAACAGAGGCCCTTTTCCTGTTGCTGCTGAATATGTTTTCAAAGAAAGAAAAAAATTACAACCAAACCACCAAAACCAAAAAATCCCCATTTATTTTTCCTGCAAGGAAAGTAGTCCATAGAGAAACAGAATGTGCAGAAAGTTCACCTCCAGGAGTAACCCAGAAACATAGCAAGCCAAAGAAGAACAGAGTTCAATTATGCTCTTACATTGACATTACTGGAAGTTGAATTAGGTCCAGCATTAGTAGAAAACAGCAGCTCTCCAAAGCACTGGCAGAGCAGCCACTGTTGCCATAACTACCTCACTCCCAGAAGCACGCAATATAATTCCTATGGTTAAATATTTACAGGGCAGATTGTATGATTTCAGGAGCTGCAGGAGCAGCTCACAGAATGCAAATCTGTCTTCAAGGTCCTCACAGAGGATTTCTGAAGTCACCCCTCAGCTTCCACTTCGTTGCACCCTGCACATGTGGTTATCCACCAGGAAGAAGGAGCACAGCTGCCCCAGGAGGGAGGACAAGCTGGTAGCCAAGGGTGCTCATGACACAGCCTGGGAAAGTGACTGCACCAGCAGGACACAGTCCCACAGCACCTGAGCAAGGCAGGAGGGTGACAGTCACAGGTTGCACTGACAGTCCAGGCATCACCAGACCACAAAGCTAAGGAGTTAGGGTAAAGGTCAAGCGAGTCTGGATGAGCAGGGACCAGGGAGGACATGGCTGTGCTTGCAGCACAACTTCAGCAAGGACCAGGGATTTGCCTGACTACAAGAGGGACTCTCAGCCCCAGGCAGAGGTCCCAGGAAGGCTAGGCAGGGCAGTTAATGCCTGCTGGTGCACCCAGTATATGGCACTGCTTTTGCATCAAACTGATACTCATCTACAGCCACCACCTAAGTCACCCTGACCCACTCTGTAAACTTAGATTATACTTCAGCTACATATGACTGCAGCAACTGGTATTTGCTGGAATCATCCACATGTCTATAGAACTAGTGAATTCTCTCATGCTGTTTTTGCATCATCCTTCTCATAGCTCTGACAGTGAAGAAACTTGCACATAAAGAATCAAGAAAAAAAACCCCAACAAACGCAAACCAAAAACCAGGCCTGCAAAGATCTTACAATGAAATATCCAAGAAAATGTATGCTTCACTACATATACCACTAAAACACTCTTTATATCTGAAACTGCTTCTGGTACTCCCCCATGACTTAGCTTTAAAGTACAGACTGAGGCACACAACACTGCTTTAAATAAGTGCATGGCCAGTTTACACAGCTGTGTAGCATGTAGATGCATATTAGTTATGCAGTTAACAACTACAGTGGTATTATGGTTGCCCATTTCAGGCCCATATATAGTCTCTGTCAACATACTGTAACAAGAATTATGTATGTTCATAATGTTTTCCAGCTCAATGCCAGTTTGTCCCATAGGAAAAATGACATGCAGACTCACCTTCAGATGAACCCCTATAATTATGAGATTTCTCAGAGCAGAAACTTTGCAATTGTCTAGCTTGCCTGTGCAAATAATGCATTACAAAATCCTTTAGTTAAACTCCTTAGGAAGGACTGAAGAGTGTGAAAGTCAGGATCCTACCTAAAGCCTTCACTCTCCACACTTCTCTGCTCCAAGGCGGCACACAAATGCCACAAAATTCTCATCCAGAATAAAAGTTCACTTTGGCATCAGCAGTCAGAGGATACCATGGTACCATGGGATTTAAGAGGAAGTACGTTTACCTTGACAGATGACCACATTGCTTCAAGGCATATGGTTGGTAGTCTGACTCACGTAATGCTGCCACATACTCTCTTGCATGTTGGGTGCTGACTATTCCAAACAGGTTCAGATGGAAGTTCTCTTAAATTAAAACTAAGTTCAGGCCTAAGAAACAAGTGCAGTTTATTAGAAAATGAAATATCTTGAAAACACTTTGACAAGCATGTGTATATATATATACACACACAGATATATATGTATACATACATAGAGACACTATGACTTTAAGTCTTTTGGACTTAAAACCACACTTATCTCTATAACCTCAGAAATAAAAAAGGTAGTGTTTAAATTACACAAAACCGTAAACTGGGCTTCAATTAAAACAATAATTTTAAAAATGTATGTTCTAATTAGAGGAAACAAAAATAATCTTAGAAGGTTAAAAATTATTCTGTTATAGGTTGAACAGTAATGGAGACATAAATTTGTCAAAGGAAATACACTGTCATGTTGGGGTTTGAGTCACCTCAAGGGCTGAATATTACTGTAAACAATTATTACTCACTACTCCCTCCCAAACTAGCACTCTGATTACTTAAAATAAACAATTCACATTGCCAATTGTTCATTTATTTTGTTTTTCTATTTATCTGTGGGATTCTTAAGAGTAAGGAATGAGGCTGGATCACTAAATACTGATAAAATAATAGTATTTTAGAGTAACATGAGGAAAAAAAAAGGCAAGAAAATCTCCATGATATGTTTCTATTGAAAGGTCTCGTTTGTCTGTGCATAATGTACTAATGATATTCAGAAATCAGCATAAGAGGTACTACATTCAGAAGCTGAATGCAAGAGTCCAATCAGGCTGGTGGCCTGTGAGCTTGATGAGTGACAAGTGTTTACATCAACTTAATGCTGTGCCATGAAAATCCTTCCTTTGGATAGCCACATCCTCAAAAGAACCAACCGTAGCATATATGCTAAGTGTGGTGGTCAGACAACATGTTTCTCACATGATTCTGAAAGCCCTAAACAGCAAATTAAACAGCTTTTACTCTGGACTGTTCCATCTTGGCTTTAGAAATACCAATAATGCTTCATTCTTGCAACACAACTATCAGATATATTCAAGTAGTTTCACTAAGCACACTAAACCCCACAGCTCCCTTATGAGGTAGATAAGGCAGATTCTCTCCACTTTAAAGCAGAAAATTGAGGCACAGTACAGCTAAGTCGATGACACTGCTTGAACCCAGTCATTCTCGCAGTATTTTATTCTATTAAGAAAATCATACATTAAAATGAATCAAGTAATACAGGCATACAAACAGATGAGTATTCTTATCAAAATACATAAACTTTACCTGTCACAGTTTACTTCATTCTGTTGAAACACTGGCTAAAAACACAAAGGTCCTGATAAATGCAGTATAACAAAGTCTGAAAAGGAAAACATTATGATAATGGTTTTATAAAACCTGAGGTGAAACCTTTACAGATTCAATTCCTTTGGTGAACAGAATCTCACAGATTTCTAAAAAAACACACAAATTACATCATCTGGTAAGACCATTACAACCGAGGTTTACGTTACATTTGATAATGGGGCAGATCTGAAAGCCTTTACTGCTCTGGCTGCAAAAACTCAGACGTGAATACAGCTTCTGCATAATCCTCACAAACATCCTGCAGCTCTGCTGCCACATCACACAGGGCTTCTTCTGTTAACTGCTCTGCAAGACTGAGGGAGAGGAAAAAGAAAAGGTTCAGAAAATAAACTTCCAAATTCCAGTCATTCATTCCACTGCTACAAATGCTCCGATTTCAAAAGGCAAATATCCATGTTTTTTCACGCTTTCTACTGTTTAGCCCAAGAAAATAGGTGATAGATGTTCTGATGTGTGTTCCGTAAGATACCAGAAATTCTATTCTCAGTCTGGGTCATAGCAAAGGACACGCTTTGAGTTAAAGTGTTAAGAGAGCTCAGCTGCTTTGTTTTTTCAAGCTCTTAAATACTCATCCTGCTGTAGGAATAAGAGTTGACATGCTGTGGTGCTCATCCAAAGGCCATTGAAGCAAATAGTAAGCTTCTTACTGATTTCAGCTGCCACCAAATCAGGCCTTACTGAAAGCAATAAAGTTTAAGAAAAAAGTGAGTGGAGAAATTTCACTTTTCAGTGATCTCTGGAGCACCGTAACAAACGTTACAGAAGGGAAAACTATTTTAGTGTAAGAACCCAATTGCTTACCGGCCTCTTGAAAACCGCTCTTCAGTTTTGCATATATTCTAAAATATCATAAGTTAGTCTGTTACTCTTCCTAAGACCTTCTGACGGTGCACAGGAGAGTTTCTTTTAAACATGCTGGGATACGATTTTATGGAAAAAGATTTGTAATGCCCTCTGGTGGTAAGGACAAGTCAATGAAGCATGCTGTACAGCATTGCAGTTTAATTCCAAGGAACAACATGTATCACGTGGCAACAGTGGAATTCAGCTGTCAGGAAAGATTACTGCCATTTCATTCACCTGCCAATCCCAAGAAGGTGCCAGTCTTTGAACTACCCATCATCACACCAACAGTAAGCAGGAGTACAGTTTAGAAGGCAGAATGACAGTACTGAGAACTGACAAGGCATATTTCAGGGAGATTCAAATGGAGATGTCTAACCACAGCTACTAAAACCTCTAATTGGGCAAACCATCACCACACATGATTAACTTCACACATGCAAATAATCTCAAATATTGCAGGACCTGTTCTGGGAAACACTAATGTAGATGCCAAATGCCACTCAAATGAGCTGTATCACTGATTTCAATGCTACTGCATAATCCCTCACCACAAAGATTAAAACTTCCATGGTATTTTACAGTGCTTTATTACTTTTTCACTCACAAAAACTAGTTTTGTTTTCCTTCAATCTACCTGTTGACGACAGTCTTCTGAAAATAACTTCAGTCACCCTATATTTCACACAGTTGTTTCTGTGGTAACATCATAGAAAGATGTAAAAAATCATCACTCCTCCAGGTCATTCTGCTCCCATAACCTTTCCTCCCATGAATACCAAGTAGAGAAACAGTCCAACCGGCTTCTGGCTTTCAATATGGAATTTAAATGGCCCCCCTCCCAATGCCTTTCCCTGAAGGACAGAAAAACCTGTCCAGCAGCTGATACATTCACATCAGAAACACAAAGATACTTCACATACCTCTCAGCAATCTGCCATGGATTGAAACTGCCTACTGCCTCATGGGAAATAAGCTTTAAGTGATGCGTGTATCTGCTGTTATAATCCAAGATGCTCTGGAGCATATGTTTTGGCACAGAAAGAGACACACAGCCCTCTTTCTGTAGAGAATTACTAGTCATAGGCGGCAGAATGTCATGTCCAGACTGCAGTTTCTCCTCTGCTTCTTTGTTTCCATCAGTACCACTGGAAAAATAAAATAGTCATTAAGCCAAAACTAGATTTCAAATATCTTTTTGAACGACCAGAAAATCTCTTCAAACAGTAACCACAACTTTAAGTAATGAAGACACACAGCTGATATACACCACAGCCTAGTGTAGGGCCAAATATTCTACTTACTTCCCATCAAAAGGTTTTTCAAATAAAATGTCCGTTTCTGGCTCTGTGCATCTGGTTACTGTGGTTATTTGAATTGGGGGAGGAGATGCAGGTCTGTCAGCAATTGATGCAATTTGCTGTTCTAGAAGGAAGAAAGCAACATTTAAAATTGTTTCTTTGGAAGAGAAAAAGTACATTTACTGCAGGGTAAGTCCTCACAAAGACTTCTGCTTCTTTTAAGGGGAAGTCTTTCAGATAAGTAAAGTACTGAACCTCCTTATATGTATGCTCAATGTAGAATTTCCAAGAGCTACAGTTAGAAAACTGTACTAAAACAGTTTGTTGTGTCAGTGGGTACTTCTACTGAAGAGACAGAAAATACCACTCTAAAACTAGTGTAATGTACTGAGCTTGGCAGTAAATCCAAGACATGGGAAAAAAATCCAACAAGATTTGGGCTAAGCCTTCACCAGTCTGATTCTGAGATTTTCCAACTGGCATAAAACAACACTGTTCCATTAAAGTCAGTATGTGATCAGATACACAGCTGAAAAATCAGTGCAGCTTCACTATTGTACTCAATCTTAATCGTAAGATAAAGAACAGAGCAGGATGGGGAAAACAAAAAGCATAACTCATTCTTAGCATGTCACTGTGGCGAGCAATATTAAAGTATGTACAGTTATGTATGGAATCATCAAGCTATTGTTTGGAATGCTACCTTTCACTAGTGAACAATTTCCAACTCATATTACATTGGTCCTTCTCAATTAAAAATTGATGTGAAAAGTTAGTTATTTTTCATCTGAAGGACTTTACATTGGTTCATTTATTTTTCTATCCAATAAAAACAAGCAAGAAAAATGTGATTAATGTGAACCGAGAGCATCAAAATCATTGTTTTCTTTCAAGGATTGAATACTTTTTGCTGAAGCATGTTGGAGAGTGAATTCTGTAGAGGAAAAGACCTCTGTAGAGGAAAAGATTCTCTGAGGCTGCAAAAATTAAACTTGTGTGTACACTACAAGATCTAAAACCAGTATCACCATCATTTGAAAGGAATAAGGAATGAGAAAAATTTTCTAAGCTTAAGTAATTTAATATTATCAATTATGTATTGCCAGAAAAACATTAAACTGTCATGGGCTCACTCCTATCTTAATATTTACCTAACATTTACTCTTGAGCTCTAAACCATTTAAACCGATAGTTTATTAAAATAAACGGGGAAAGGGAAGAAACAGGAGAAGCAAACTAGAAGGTAAGTATCTCCTTGCTCCTGACTACGCAAACTGACAGCAGGACAGAGACTTCACACCTTACTTCAGCCTGTGAACTCTAAATAGTTTGGAAATCATCAGCATGAAAATGATCACTGCTACTGGTGTTTCAAAGAAATCAAGTCAAATGAGAACACACTAAATACTGTTCTCTAGATTAAGATTTACAGATTTGCCAGTATCTCAAAACTGAAGACAGACAAATCATGCAGAGCTTAACAAGAAAACAAGTGGCTTTAGGATTAGACCTTAGTGGCTTTAGGATTAGGCCTCAGACTTAGACAGCTGTCCTCTGCAGTAAATTCAAGTAGTGAATTGGAGGGTATGTACCTATGGAATATCACCTTCACTGCATTAAAATCATTACATTTTGGTAGAAAACATTTAAACTAAGGAACGCAAATGCCTAGAAAAGGAATAACACTCAAAGTTACTTGATGATTGGAAGATTCCTATCCTTCAGGTAAATTGCACTAGCAGTGTTTTCCACCTAAATGCAACCCCAACAAAGGCAATTAGAAAATGGCAGCCAGTTGTCAGAAGAAATTCTTCCCCTTAACAATACTGATTTTAGAACTAGATTTTAGAAACAGTCCTCTGAAAGGAGTACCTATAGTAAAAAATGTGTCTGGATGGTGTTATTTGACCATACATAATCAAATTATTTTTACTTCACAACATATTAATTTAAAGATACAGATTACAGAAAAAAACCAAGTTGCATTAAAAAGACACTTACCCATTTTGTCTTCCTGGGCCCAGAACTCCAAATCACTGTAGACAATGTGGGTGAATCTCCTGCGTACAGCCTCCTGGTATCTCTGGTTTTGAACATACAAATTCCATCAATTAACACACAGTTAGCAGTTCAGCTGTACTGATTGTTTTGACCCAATGAGAAAGCAGGTCATGATCCTCTGTGGTCAAAGTAGGCTTATTTTGCCTAGTTAACACACAAAAGCAGTAGGGGTGTGAAATCACAGATACTCCTCTCATTCAAAATGCCGTAGATGTAACTAGTCAGTAGCATGACAACTGCTCCCATTTCAGCTCAACATCAGCTAGCCAAAAAACTGAAGAGCCCTCAGACGTTCCTGCCTTACTACTAACAGAGAAATCAAATGTGTGCTTAAGTCCTCATATGATAAAGACACTACGCAATGTAAACTTCATGCTTCCATGTTACAAATTGATCTCTAGAAGCTCTGTAGATCTGCATTACAATATATTTCACTGAACAGGAAGGTTGAAATGGGACTTGAACCAGAAACTGGGAAAGCTGATAAAAAAATTAATAAAGCAATAAATGAGAAAGTTCAAGTCAAGGAAATCATAACCTCATTATATTTACATAGAAAGATGGATAAATAAGGGCACAGATAACCATGTATTTGTCCAACTTTCCCCATGCTGTCCTGTGAAATATTCTGAATTGTCAGTATATTTCCTCAAGATGCTCATGCTCCTGGAATACTGGGATCCCAGAGCACACATACACAGAAAAATCATATTCAAATACTTTCCAATCTGGGAGACAATCAACACAATCACCGTACTGATTGTCCCATTCACATATTACCCAAGCCATAAAGTCGAGGTGGGAAGCAAACTCAGGTCTAAGGGCTCTAAAGCTAGCAATAAAACCATTACGGCAAACCTTCCATTCTCACAGTGTTTTGCTGGAAGCCCAAACTCCTAAGTCTTTCGTTTCAGGCACTGACCCAGTCAGACTTTGCTTCATTTAAGAATGTAGATACTTACAGATATTACAACTTATGGGTAGTAAACTAGAAATTAGCACTAATAAGACCACCCAAGAGAGAAAAATCTTACTTCAATTTCTTCCATTCTTTCCAACATTGACTCCAGACTGTGAGTGCCAGGTATAGGCAGAGTCTTGCTTTGGAGCTGCTCATGCTGCTCCATACTCTGCAGTTCCTGAGCAGTATCTTCCAAAATATCATCCAATAGCTTTTCCCTCAGAATATCTGCATTTGCTGCAACCTGCTATTAAAACAAAACAAAAAACCAAACCACCACCAAACCAAACCAACCAATAAAACCAAAACAATCCCAGCCCCCAGCAATGCAAGAAAGAAAGGAAAAAAAAAACCCCAAACAAAAAAGCCCCAAACAACTGAGGGGAAAGAACATTTCTTCCAGCAGCTCATGGAAATAGTCCAACTGCCATTCAACTTTTCAATGAAGATCCAAATACATTTTCGACCCATACTACAAGCCAAATCAATAAAACCAATAAAACCAAATGAATATGCAAAACAGCTGCTACACAACTTTGCTCCCAAATAGAACACAAAACTGTCACAGGTTCAGAGATCACCCAGGAATTCAATAAAGCGAAGCAAAGGCTCTCATCTTACAAAACACTACACACACACGTTTAACTTCTCATACAAGAACAGCCTCAAAGCAGCTCCAGATGGTCAAAAGTAAATATATAGGATCCATGCCACAGCTGTAGCTTTATGTCCAATGTTGCCAGTTAGCAATTTCATTATTAATTTACCTATATTACTTTAAAAGAAAACATCTTTCCCCTTAAGCAACTGCATTCATTTGAGGTCACATCAAGTAAAAAAAAAAACAACCAAACAACAAAACCCAGAAAAAAGATGATGTTAGAAAGAGCTTTTTCATTGTTTCATATTGTATGTGGTTACCAAACAATACTTCAGAAAGCACATTTTTAAAGATATGGCTTATGTAAGTTGAAATTGCTAAGTTTGGGAAATTAGTACTATACTTCCAGATGTATTCGGTGATATGGCAAAGATTAAAAGTCACCTTAAATGTCAGCTTTGCTCTATGACATACAGATAGAATACACCTTCTCATATGTATGAGTTAAAAGGTGACTTATAAATGAAGAATCCTTCAAATGACAGTTTGTTTCCAAGGAGAGATTGATCTTCTAAATAAAACATAAAACCTCTCACAATAATAAAGCTTTCTCTAGTACTAGTCATTAATATTACAGTCCAAATTTATTTAGTCATTAAATACAGTATTTTAAGAATTATTGAGCCAATCTCATCAAGTTCAGTCACGTTCAGCATCGGACTGTTACAACCACTCAAAACCAATTTAAAAATGCATCTACTTGATAAGAAGCTAACAAAAAAAAAAAAAAAAAAAAAGGAAAATTTAACACAGCTTTGCAAAAGTCCATTACTCCATTCAAGGCCCACACACTGACATGGAAATACACTCTCCAACTGTCCAGAACTCTGTTGACTACATAAATATGATTTGAAAGTTGAAAAGATACTGTGTTGCCCCTATATAAATCTTTTTCAGCTCTAAAGGCATCCTTCAAACAGTGGCATGAGCTTGACTGTACTACCTGTGTCCTATCTAACAGAGGTTCTAAGGGCTCCCGCACTGCCTTCTCAGCTCTGTTTGCATACAGGGTTGGAGAAGCACTCCGTGACCTATGCAAAAAAGAACAAATGACAATGCCATCCTGAAACTTGGTATGACAACAGGAACTTAAGAAAACCCCACATAAATGTCCTTTTCCGGGGACTGGTGGAGTGGTGAGGAGATGACATCACATCTGACGTCATTTATTAGCTCTTCAAATCAAATAACTACTTTTGTATTTTTTTCAATTCTCCTCTGCTAAGGTCAGTGAGAACCCTCACTCTTCCTGAAGTTTCTGCTTCAGGTCATGCGAGTCTTAAAAAATAAAACAGCAGTGTAGAGGGTTATAAAATGGAGATTTTAACAACTGAAGAATGAAATAATGTGATTCTGAATATTAGTTTAGAAAACTTGCAAAACATTTTAGAGACAAAATTAATGCTAACTTTAACACCATATACACCAGGAAATTCTGCTGAGAATCAGAGATCTTTAGTTACATTTCTGCTACTGGCAAACAGGCAACTTCATGACTATTCATAAAGACTGCCTGGAAAGATAGGCTCCCTGTCTTACCGCACACACTGCTTAGTACAGATCCAGCAGCTAGATCAGCACGTGGATCTCCTGCTCCAATTGCCACAGACAGTAGTTCCAAAGTCAATTTGGGAATACCTGGTCTAGTATAACAAACATAGCTTAAAATAAACAAGCCTGCACTCTATTACTGGCTAGGACAAAGATATATATTCTGTCTGTTTGGATCAGGGAAATATTCCCCTTCTTAGCATGGTGCTGTGAATATCCATTCTGCATACTGTGTGTTTCAGTCAGTGCCCTGCCTAGCACAGTTTGGATGGTGACTTCCAGACAATACTTGCACCTGAGACAGAAACAAATTCATAAAGCAATGGCTCTTCCCAGGCTGTATGCACAAGACCACTTCGTGCCGACTGGGAGAAGCATACAAGTAGCAGGTAGCAACCTGTGCTGTGCCGCCTGCCTTCATGACCTGACAGCCAGGCCAAATCCATCCCACTTACTAGTACAGATAACAGCAGCATTTCCACAGGAAAGCAGGGTAAAGACAGGCTCTACTCCTCTGTGAACATACCGCTTAGGTGCAACAGGTGGGTGTGCAGGGTTTGGAGGCGTGCAGAGTATTCTGCTCTCCTTAGCAAGTCGTTTGTTCTCTTTTAGCTGGAAAGCTATAGTTGTCTCTTGAAATCGGGCATGCTTTCCTTGAGGCTTTATCTCTCTTGATTTTAGAGATTTTGGTGTTCCCTTAAAATAAAAACAAGCACATTAAAAACACATATTCCAGTTGCTGAATTTTTAAAGTGTTTTACATTCTGCTTCAAAATTTGTCTTGAAGTCCTGCCTACTTACTTTGTTGCACAGTTGACACGACTTAAAGGGAAGTACAACTGTGCCTGAACAGAACATACGCTTAATGCTACAACTCTTATCTCTGCAAACAGTTCCAAGATTTCCAATGTTGCCTTTCATGGGAAAAAACTTATTTTCAGATTTTCACGCTTATACTTGACATTAACTCGGAGCAGTTCCAAACAGAAGGTTACCACAGTAACATTTTATTCAGCCATGAAACTAAAATTATCACCATATTTGTATTTACTACAAGGATTCTTAAGACTCATCCCCTCAGTATGAATTACTGCAATGCTTAACCTTCCTGCTCACCAGCTGCATGGATAGATATGGGAAGCAGTAAAAGTTACATACATATATGTTACTGTAGCAATCTGATTTTCAAGCTGAAGGAGATACTCTAAGGGGAAGAAAAAAGGTGGGGGTGGGTCTTTAATAATAATGGAAAAAAACCAAACAAACTCAAAAATCCCCCAAAACAAAAAATCCAAACCAAAAAAGCCCCAAACAAACAAACAAACAAACAAAAAAAAAACACAACAACAGAAAAAGCCCCACAAACTATTTGCAAAAGTTTATTTTTTGGGTTTTTTGTTTGGTTTTTTTTTTTTTTAAGACCCTGAAATATTCTGTAAAGAACTCACTTCTTTCTATTACAGAAGCCTCTGGCTGGTTGCAAGGACTTAAAAAGAAATCAGAATTTGTACTGAAGTTTTATAATTTCTGTAACCATGAAGTAAAATGTCCCACACGACATCCTTGTCTCTAAATTCGAGTCTCTAAATTGGAGAGACATCAATTTGATAGGTGGACCACCTGGTGGCTAAAGAACTGGCTGGATGGCCACACGTTACTCATCGGTCCTCGTTGCACGGTGCCTTTCCAAGCAACAGTTACACTACTGTCATAAAACATCTGATAAAATAGTCATGACCACTAGAAATACTGTAGGCAGATGACACAGTTTATCCCTCTCTGCCTCCTAGATTGGCACAAAAAGGTTGTGAGGAAGTGCAAAGCTGGACAGTGTCTTCCATGATACAACAAACCCCAGAAGAGACGTAGGAAAAGCATAAACTGTTTTATGACTTCCGTACCTGTGATTTTGCAGGTAATAACACACCTTTCTTCTTCAGTGGGACACCTTCAAGCATGGGATCTTTTTTCACAGCTCTAGCTCTCAGCAGTGCCTCTGTGCTTCCTTGTGAAGTGGCATTTTTCTCTGGAGCAGGTGGTTTACCATCTTCTTGGAATTTATTGTGCAATATCCGAGTACAACTGCTTGCCTTCTGTACTGCTGAAATATTTGCAACATGTATCAAAAATAAGCTTTCAACTAAGCATACTTCTTGCCCTTTCCTAGGGGTAGTAGTAAAAACCAGTACGAGGTATGAGAACAACACCTTAAAGAAGAAAACCAAGTAACATAGGTTATGTAATAATGTAATAAGCTATAATGGCTTACATGAGGTGTCGAAATACTTCAGGTGGTACATTTATCTCTAACACCATGAGAAAGAATTAAGCCCATTTCTTTTCACATATGAAGTTAAAGAAACAAAATAATTTATTTTTCAATAAATAAATCCTTGAAATGGTTGCATGGCAAACTAATAGTGGAGAAAACTCAGTGTCTCCAGATTAACAATCAGTTAATGTGTCTCTAGGTACTGAAACTGTGATTACTGGGCAGAAGACATTAACATTTATGAACTGACAAGAACAAAACAGAGACACCCCCCTCAAAAGGAGAAAAACTGCACAAATCAAGGAAATTCTGAGCCAAGACTGGAGTTAATCTTTTCACTGTAAACAGTTAAGCAACAATAGTTTTGTTGAAGATTTGCTAACAGTCAGCAACTTTGCACTCCACAATAATATATTGACACAGTACTATCTAGGTAGGTATTTGGTAATATTCTGTATCCATCATTAATGTCAGCTTGTAAACTGCAATTTACGTCTACCTGTGGAAAGCCAATCCAAGCTCAACCCACACTAAAATAAATGGACAAAACCAGGCAGAACATGATAATGATAACAACACAGTTATAAGGAGGCTTATAAATCTGCAGCCTGACATTCTCAGAGAACAGCTGAAAAAATGCCTAGCAAGGCTGCATGAGTCTGAGGACTGCATATGAGCTGTCATGCACTTCTGACTGACAATACCTAACATACTGCAAAACTGAGCAGAGGTGGCAAGTTAAGCAATAAAAATGTATTTTAGAATTCAAAATACAAACCAGTCGAGAGACTCCTGGCAGCTAGAGGTTTTCTAGGTTCTTGGCCGTGTTGTCCCTTTAAAATGAGGTGTTTGTTTTCCCCTTTTGGAGATACAAGCTGCTTTCTGGATGGAAAAGCCTCAGTGTTTCTTGGAGATTTGCCCCGAGATGATGAAATACACTTCTTCATTTTTTTGGGTGTTTGTTTCTTTTCCAGCAGTGAATCCAGATCCTGCACCATGTATTTAGAATGTTAATTACTCTCTCAGTAAAACTGATGTGAGATCAAAAATTCAGAGATTCTAAGTATTTGGAACTTTTTTGGTGTGATTCTGTTTTTTGTGGTAGTGATTATTCCTGACAGCTTGTTCCTGCAGAACTTAAACCTTACAGAAAAGACTTGTGGTTTTGTATTTACAATTGACTCCCAGCAAATTATCTGCTTACAGCATGTTCAAAAAGAAACGGACATAAAGGCTACAGAAAAAAAACCAAAGAAAAATGACAAAAGCCCACATAACTCAGGGAAGACAGACATGTCTTCCAATGCCAAGTCCAAACTCAAACAATCCTATCTCCTTTGCAATTCCCAGGCAGTCAGCACTGTTACTGTTCTCATAAGCAGTGCAGAACAGTAAAAATAAACACAGCTCTTACAGTTAGAACAATATTTTAAGGAAAATATCTTATGACTATGGCATCAGTTGCTTTCATTCAAATTAATTAAAATACTGGTTTTATAACAGTTCAGGTTCCATAGGCTCTTACTTAAAAAAAAAAAAAAAAAAAAGTCTTGTAGGTAGGAATTACAGCAGGAAATGTGAATCAGAACTTTTCTATTATACCAACAACATGTTTTAAAACATCAGGTATCACTAATAAAAGGCATTTGAAGGGCATCAGGTAGCTTCCATGTTTAGGATGCAAGTCTATTTTACAACACCATTACTTAGGAACACATTTATAGATGTGAAAATACATCCTTAAAAAAAAAACCCAAACAACTAACAGCAAACCCCCCCAAGCCCCAGTTCAGTATTCTGCCATTCATGAACACACAACATAATTTATAGTTCTGTAATTCACTATGTCTTTTCTGCCTTTGCAAAACCAGAATGCTTTTTCTTACTTCAACTTGCAGCAAAATATCTAGGATAACATCAGAAATGGAAGAATCCACTTCTAGTTTGGCAGAACAGAGAGACAGTTGTCGAATGAGACTGCCCAGTTCCTTGTAGTGGGTAGGAATCTGCTGCTCTGTTTGGTCTGTAAACTGATTGGCAAATGCCTGCAAGGCTCGTACAGCTCCTCTGTGTGCTGCTGCCAACCTGGATACTGCTCGAGACTGGAAAATGAAAAATAAATGTTTTAATAGCTACAGTTTCTATGAATATAGATATTATTTGAAGAACTGTCACCAATATTTCTTGGTGAAACACTCAGGCTTGCAATAATTCTGATGGATATGAGGGCATTTGTGAGACAAAACAAAACAGGCATTTAAGTAACCTACTAAAGTACTACACACGAGTACTCATATCAAGTATCATATTCAGATAAAATAGCCTGGTTATAATGTATTCAGATGTTTCCACTACCTGTGCCAACAGAGTACTATAGTCATGGGCTTGATCCTGATGTGCAACAATTGCACAAATACAAAATATCCTCCTTCCTCCACTTTCATTACAAAATAAAATACATGTGTTGGAAAAGCACAAGAGAACAAGACAGTACTGGCCAAAGAACAGGCATAATCTCAGTACTAACTTTCGGAAAGATGCTCATCAGAGAAGAGAAGCACAAAGGGGCTGACAAGACTGAGTGACATCAATGGAAAGTTAAAAAAAGTGGTCAAGAGTAGAGTCCAGTGTTACTCAGAACAGGAACTGGAATGAAGAAAGAATTAGGAGCCACATAAAAGCAGACCAACAGCCTTCCTCTTTGGTTTGCCGTAGATGGGCAAGAACTGAGGAGAAGAAGGAAGCAGCAAAGGCAGTATCAGACCAGGTGAGACATAGTTCTGTAAGAATGAGATGAAAGGTGCAAGATACAAAGAGAATCTCACTTCTAGAGAGGGCTCAGGTGTACCCTAGACAAACTCAATTAGCTAGAAAGCTTCCTCTCTATTACTCACAGCCTGAAGGATAATTACATCTTACCTTTTTCGTGTGTTTGACTTTATGAGGACTCAGTTTCTCTAAATCATCCTGAATTTCTTTTACCTGTTTATAAAGAAATAGGGGAACAGGGAAAAGTCAGTCAGAAGGAGTTCCGTGTCTATGAATGAACAATTAATCTTCACTATAATGTCCGAGTCAAAGTTTAAATTTTCCAGCTCATCTCTGTCCAGTCATAAGAGAAATTAGTGACACCATTCAGATCTAAACTAGAATGCTATGGAAGTTCAGAGATAAGCAAATCAAATTTTTCTTGTTTCAGTTCATTTCTGTCAAATTCATCACAATAAGCTAACTACTATGCATCCCAATTCAAAATGCTGATTCTTACCTGTTGCTGGAGTACATAAAGCATCCGAGCTGACCTTGCAGCTTGCTCCCGCCTCCTAGTGCAAACTCGCTGCTCTTTATCAGGATCTAAAATTTCTCTCTCTCCACCTAAAAAGCATGAAATGAAAAAGTTTTATGTTTTAATTTAACCTGCAAAAATCCCGATTAAGACATGAGAACAAAGCTCAGCAATAAGCCTCTTTCATGCAGAACCAATACAGAAGGTATCATATTTGCAGAGCTGCCTTGAGCAGTAATGCAAGCTAGTTATTTTAACTCTACATCATGTTTCTATCTAGAATTTGACAAAACATTCTTATATTATATAGCCTATTAGTTATAGCTTCCAAAACAACACAACCTCTTAGTTTTATGACAGCAACGCAGGTAAAGCACTCAAAGTTAGGAACAGTGAAAATTTCAAGTAGTTATTACAAAAGAACCAATGTGGTGTGCACTGGGGCTGGCTGCCATGGAGTTGGTCTTCACGGTCACCAGTATGTTGCTGGTTTGGATTTATGACTAAAAGTGTCAATAGCGCCCCAGTGTTCTGGCCATCGTTGAGCAGTACTTGCACAGCACTAACTATGCTCCACCAGTGCACAGCCTGGGTACGTGCAAGAAACTGGAAGGGGACACGGCCAGGACAGCTGACCCCAACTGACTAAAGGGATGCTCCACACCATGCTCAGCAATAACAAAAATGGACTTTTTTTGGAAGGAAGGTAGCCATTGCTCACAGATTAGTTGGGCATCGCATCTACTTGTGGGAGATAGTAAGTGATTTCCTTTTCATCACATGACTGTTGTTGAGTCTTACCTTTTTTAGTCAATTCTTCAATTTTCTGGACATAGTTCCTCAGCTCCTTCTGCAGCCGTCGGACTTCCTGCACGCTTTTATCTTCTTTTTTGTTGATGCTTGGCTTGGGGTCTGGCCCTGTGCCATGACTGGGTGGAGAGCCCAGACCAGCCGGTATTAGCATTCCCTCATTTGGTGTATAGTGATAAACTTTAGCACCAGAGGTGGTAGTCTCCACTTTGGATGCCTGACCAAGCTTCTGCTGATATTTCAAACAAGTTTGAGACTTGAGTGCATTTTTATTTTCTGGGATGTCAAATACTTCAACCTTTTGCTGTTGTGACTTCTGGGCCAACAGAGGTTTACTGGCAGCATCTCCAAATACTTGCCGTTTCACTTGCTCTTCAAATTGTCTTCGTTTTATGTCCCTTTTGGCTAGCTGAATAGCCAATTTTAGTCTCTCTTCAGATACCACTGAAAATATGCCAGAGCTTCTCATGCTGGGGTCCTCACTTCCACTGAGATTTCTCTGATTATTGGATGCCTTCAGTTTTTCTATTATAATTGGACGGGGGTTAGAGAATTGGAGAGCCAGGTTCTCTGGAGCTGCAGGAACATGTCTGTTGAACTGGAGCTGTTCCAAAGTGTAAAAAAAAAAACCCCAAATCTAATGTTACACAGGACACTTCCCACAGGGAATGTGTCTATAGTGTTGAAAAGTAAGGAAAACAGATGTTCTTTCATACTACAATGCATTCTGTCGTGACAGTACTTCTTCAACACGCGCAAGGTATTCCATCCATTCAGACAAATACCATTATTCAGAATTATTTTGAATTAAGCATTTAGATCATCTTGTAAATTATATTTACAGATGTGGTTTCTGGTCTATACCCTTATGAAAAGGCAGTGTGAAAATTATGTATGACAGCATCATGAACGCAAGCATGAAGACAGCCTGCTAGTGAGTATCAATCTCAGTTGGTCACAGTCATCTTTTTATAACAATCACAAATGAAAGCCAATTCAGCATCGTTGCATAAGTCAAATAATACCTGTGTTTGTAAAGCCTTTGCTTTGTTCCTGTAAAGCTGAGTAGCGAATGCAGACACAGTTGCCTTGCTTGGTCCCATCACACAGGTTTGATGCTGAAATTCCAATTATCTGTCTTTTCCTTACAATGACAACTATAAGCATAAGAAGAATCAAACATTATTTCTGCCTCTCAGAAGCAATCCCAGGTCGTGCACTCCCAATGTGCAGTGTGCACTCACACAGATGGTACCAAATCCTGTCCTTTAAAGCAAATTTTACAATTTATATCGTTCTTTTACACACTGCCACAGAGCGCTGAGGAGCACCACTACAGACAATGAGGCGCACACCGTGAACCACAAGATTGCTGCAGTACTTTTATAGCTATTATGTACCTAAAAGGGAAATGAGATACTGCACAGATAAGAAAACAGATTAGCACGACAGCTTAAGGCATTGCTCCAGGTACACGGTCTGTACAAAACCCATGAGTGTCAAAGGGAAGCAGAACAAGGGCATGCTCATGTCCAAAGCTTTGCAGAGATTTAAACTAAAGGGTGCGCGTCTCCTTCATCCGTTCTGGCAATTAAAAATGAGCAGGACTCGACGCTTAACGCTGTTAAAGCTCCTTATCGCGACTGAGGCTTTGCCTCTGCTCCTCACCTCACTGCAGCTGCCCTCGGGCCTCCCACGACGCACCCCTTGCGACGGGGCTCCAGCCGCACAGCCCACACCCGGCCCGCCCCACGTTCCACCTCCCCTCACGGCATCCGGACGACCGAGACTCGCACTGGGGACCGACCCGAGCTGCCGCTGAGGGAAGGAGGCTGGGCGGTGGAGCGGCCCAGGCCCGCAGTGACACCTACCGCGACGCTGTTCAAACCCGCTCCTGCCGACTTCAGCCGCAGAGAACGCCGGGAAGGGCGCGGAAGTACGGCGGCCGGCGAGGGGCGAGGCGGAGCCCGGGCCCCGCCCCACCACTGCCCGGGGCGAGGCGAAGCCCGCGCCCAGTGTTGCCGCGTCCCTCGGGCACCATGGGCTGGGAGGAGAAGCAGGTCCGCGGGTACCCCGAGTTCGTGCAGACGGCGCAGCGCTACCATGGGCGGCCCATTTTCGCACTCTTCTGCGGCGACAAGGATGCCGAGGGCAAGAGCTGGTGCCCGGACTGCGTGACGGGTGAGGCCTGCGGGACGTCCCCCTCCCCGCTCTGTGGGTGGGGGGCCCGGTGGGAAAGCGCCCTTCACCCTCGTGGGGCCCCGACAGCAGCGGAGCCACCGCTGTGGCGGCCTCGCGCTCTTCGCCGCGCGGACCGTATACGTGTATGCCTTAGCCCCGCGCAGCGCCCGGCGCGAAGCGGCCTCACGTCACCTGGCTTCCGTTACCGGGGATCGGAGCGGCCTGGGCCGAGTTCCGGTTTGAAGCCCTAGCTGCAGTTGCCGAGGCCGGGAGTCCCACCGAGGTGTGGGCCGTCACCGGGATTAGCTAAAGGTAATGGGCTGCAGCTTCCTCTGCCCTTGCTGGCCACGTTGCACTGAATGGCAAGTGATGTAACATGCTGTAAAGACAAGTCCCTTCAAGGTTGAGCTGAATTCTGCACAGCTCATGGATAACCAGAGGAAACAAAACACAGGTCTCTATGTGTCTGTTAGCAGCCTTGCTTGTCAGAGCAGATCTGTGTCATTCTGTAGCGTGATAAAAGTATCAATATATTGAGTTCTTAAAATTTTATTTTCCAGCTGAACCGGTTGTGAGGAAGGAACTTCATAACATGCCTGATGAGTCTGTATTCATCTACTGCCTCGTAGGAGACAGAGCCTAGTAAGTGTTTTAAAACCAACAACCAGTACAATTTTACTGTTTCTGGGCTAGGGGTTAACTAACCTGTTGGAACAAGTCACTGAACTGTGCTTTTCCGCAAGGAATGAAGCATTGGTTTTGAGTTCACATCCCTAATGTGAAGTATCTGCATGTTTGCTCTGAGAAGCGGGTGAGGTAGTTATGAGTAATCCTTTTGAAGGAATTTTAACTGCACCTCTACAAGCTGTTAACCCTTTCTTCCTGAACAGCTGGAAAGACCCCAACAATGAATTCAGGAAGAATCTGAAATTAACAGGAGTGCCTACACTACTTAAATATGGAACAGTAAGTGATATATTGTATGTTCTGGATCTACAGGCATTCAGATGGGAATCTGGTAGGAACTTATGACTGTAAATGAATTAATCACATATGTTGTCTGATACCCTCTCTTGTTTAAAAAGAGCAGACAATTAGGAACAGTTCTGCTCCCCCCGTGCACATTTTCTGCCTCACATAGTTCCTCAAGAGAAAGCCACTGTGCTTTCAGCATAATGTTGTCTATAATAAACAAAAATGCAATAGGTAAATTTAACATGCAGTGGTTGAGAGGTAGAGAAAATTCTTAGCAATATACCGTTAGTTTCTTGACTTGCAGCTCCTGAAATTTAAATCCAAATGCTGAATTACAGGAGTGAAGCTATGTGCAGTATACTCTTGATTCAAATGGAGTGCAGCTCAAGTTTTAACTTGTGCATCTATTTAAATTAGCAACTACTTTCTCAGAAATGCCTCTTCCAAGGCCGCAAAACCCTCAGGCATTTTCCAGTTATTCCTACCTTGCTTGTTCCACCTCATCTTCCCCAGAAAAACAATTGCTGGAGTATGGCTAATGTTATTAAGTACAAATAGCTGTGGTCTAGAACAGGGTTTTGAATTCCCCCTAAAGCATCTTAACTTTTATTTCAGCCGCAGAAGCTGGTTGAAGAAGAATGTTTTAAAGCAGAGCTTGTGCGTATGTTGTTTACTGAAGACTGAGTCCTTCAGTAGTCAGTCATTTCTGAAGACATCTCAAGTTGTTTGTGGTGTCCTTTCAAGGAATCCTTAACCTTAGTCAAGATAATTAAATTCTAGGTCCCAACCGTCCACTGAAATCTTGCAAAAAAAACCCTGTATCTTTCTTTTCATGTTAAAATAAACTTGAGTTTGAAAACAGTCTTTTCAAAGCAGCTGTGCTCATGTTATAAATGGAGAGTGCAGCCTACAGTAAGGGGAAGGGGGTTGGAAAAACAGAAAAAAATCCTTATTCTTCCTAAATCTGAATTCACATAGCTGCTGAAGCTACTGAATGTCAAAATGTTTACTGGTTTATTTGTTCAGTCTTAAGTATGATAAGCTGAAGGCCAACAAGTCTTGGTGTCACTGATCACATATTAACAGTTGCAGTACCTGCTCCTACAAGGCTATCAAATATAGGATGAATGCAGCATGAATACAACCTAAAATATGAAATATAAACCCGTGGAAACTGCTAATATCTGTGTTCTTACAATACAAACTATACAGGAATAAATGACAAACGCTTCTCCAATCCTGCTAGAGCATGTACACCTTTTTTATAACACAAATTGTTTTTACTGCACCTCGTGTAGAGAAGCCCAGGAGCAGCCACTACTTCACTGTCAGAAAGCCAAGATTAAAGTAAGCTGACTAATGGAATAGACACAGCTACAGCCTATTTCCTTCTGAGTATCTGTGAAGTTTATTATTACTTATCTCTGCTCCGCTCCTGCAGTCCTCTTGTCACACTTTGTTTTCTATATTACGGATTACCAGGTAAACCGAAATAACAAGTAATAGCTCAGGTTGGTTTCAAGGCAAAAATCCACAATTTAGATTTTGTAGAACACCATTACTTCAACTTTGCTCATCCTACAGTTACAAAAAGTAGTACACAGCGGAATTCTTAAGCCACACTTAAAATACATCATTATTCTCCAGGGAAAATGTCTAAGAACAGACTTCTGAGCTACACTTTTTGTTATTTAAATGTCAGTAGTGTCAGATTTTTTTTTCAACATCAAAAGGAATCAATAATTGCAGTAATGCTCTTACAAAATTGTCCATGCTGCAAAATAAACTGCAGAGGTTTTATCAGTCTTGGATTTTTAAACAAGATGAAATTTTTAAAAAGTCACTTAATAAATAAAACAGTGAAACATACACCCCCAAGAGCCAAACCCACACAAGGGCTCCTTCCTCTCCTAAGCACTCAAGTTGACAAAGTCAGTCACCTCATCAACATGCTCCCACCACATGGTCTCATTTTACAGAGGTGTTTTGCTGCTGCTGCTCTGCAAGTGCTTGCTGGAGGCGCATTCTTTTCCTGGAATAGTGCTGCCAGTGAAGAATCTGCTGCTCATCAATGAACTTGGCACACTGAGCATTCACCAGTTCTTTGCGGAAATGTTCATACTGGAGCAGCTCTAACATATGCAAACACTGTGGATACCTGCATTAAAAATAGAGGCCCTTCAATACAGGTTTTTGCAAGATGCATTAAAACTGGAGTCTCCAGAAATTATGCAGTTCTTTATTTTAGTTCTATCATGTATGTGTTTTACTCAAATATCAAATCACCAAAGACTACATATTCCACTGTTACACACTGTAACTCAGTAGGCTTCAGTATTAGGCTAGGAAACAAGAAGTCCACTAACAGATTCTAAATGTATATACATGCTTGCTTAGAGTACCTTTTCTAATGGTTAGATTTCACTAAAGCAAATACATAACAACTACAATATCTGTTTCCAGAACTCAAAGAACACAACCAAGAGGGAGTTTGCATACTCACAAAAATGCAAAGACATTGTTTGTTTCATGCAAACATCAACAATGCAGAATTACTCTCAACATGTATTTACTCAGCCTAACTGAAGTAGTTCTGTACCATAATGGTCAATAGTTTTATGTTCAACAAACGCCAAAGTGCAGATGAAGGCTGCAAAGGGAAGATTCCATGCACAACCCATGGAAGACAAGTTTTATATTCATGCCTATTGCTACATCTGCACTGTTGGAAAACAAGAAAATTTATGATGCATATAAACACAGCACAGAGGACAAAGGTAAGGTTACACGTGGAAATCAATTACTGACATGCTGCTGTACAGTACATAACAGAAGGTAAACAAAATCATTAAAATGCAGAAACCAAAGTGATTTTAACACTTACTTCAGGTATTTTGCATATTCAGGTTCTTTCCAATAAAGTAAATACTTAAGATAATTTACAAAAGCTTTGTCTTTGAAATAGCCTCTTTGTGCAAGAACTGAAATAAAATGACAAAGAACTGTCAGTTACAGATGCATTAAAAAAATCTGTCAACCTTGAAGAATAAGTATTCACAAAACTATACAGAGGCACTTTAGTCAAAACTTCATGATTACAAGCAAATTTTAATAATTAGAAAGAAAAAGGAAAAATATATTTTTACGTCAACCCTGACAGTATGTATCTTTTATAAAACACCAAGGAAGAAAACAGCTTTTTGAAACAGGAAATTTTGACTTAGCATAAAAATTGAAAGGGCATTATGGATAGTGCCTGAAATTCTGTTTTCAGATAAGGAACACTGTTAACTTGACATTACTTCTTAACTGCACACCTCAACTCACTTTTTTTTTTTTTGATCCCCCAGATAGATGCATTATTTCTTATTTCGAGTAATGAAACTTTTTACATTTTTTAAAACTCACCTGTTAGAAATACAGACAATTTAAATTACTGACAGATCACCTTTACACTGTGAAAGACCCACTCCTTTTTCTTTGTTTAGCCCTCTCCCTCCTGTTTAACATTCCCAGTAGTAATATACAACATTAAAACTACTCATTCCTCAGGATCCCAATAGTTACTGTTCAGTACTCACAGTTGAGGTAATTTGGATTCGCCAGACACTGAACAAACTCTAACTCCAGCTGGAACCGAAGTCGATTCCCCGTGTCATCTGATAGAAAAGCAGTAAGAATCTTGACCACACCATAGATTTGAAACTTTCTCGGGTTAAGCCACACAAATACAGAAAACGTGTTTAAACAGGAGAAGCAGCAGTAACTCCCCGTAATAATGCGGATTAATTTAGCAAAGCCTTCATTACATCAATCGGCGTTTGGCCTGCATTAAGAGACATGCTGAGGTTGGTTTGTTTTTATAGCCAAGTGCAAAGAATGAAGGAATGCCTACTGACACTTGGCTTAGAGTGAAGGAAAAGGGAACAGCAAGAAGCCTAGAGGCCTCGTGCTCTCAGATCTGCAGCTGAATCCTGACATGAGCACCTATCAACAACGGGGTCGAGGTACCCGCGGAAGCGGCGCCCGAGCTCCGGGAAGGCTTCAAGGCTCACAGCCACGACTGCGCCCCTGATGCCCTCCCGCGGCCTCCCCCGTCACGGAACGGGACGGGATGCGGAGCACCCCTAAACCCCCTTCTCCGGGGAAGCGGGCTCAGAACCCGCCCCGCGCCTGCCAGCCCCAGCTCCCCGAGCACTCCTCACCGGTGTCCATGGCACCCGCAGACCCGCACCACCCGCCAGGAACAAGATGGCGGCGGACGGAAGCCGCGCGGAGACCAGCACTGAGGTACGCTGGGAAGGAGACGGTGGTAACCCGGCAACGAGCCGGGCCGCGGCTGCTGGCGGTGATGCTGCGGTCCCCTATCGAAGTACGAACGCAGTGTTTTTAACGAGCAGAGGTCGGTTTTACAGCGATCTCTGCGCTCTGAAAACCTTGCAAGAAAACCAGAGGGATCTGACCGCTTCACAGAGCACCTTTATACCCGAAGCTTTCACTGACTGGAGAAAAAAGGTCACATATGCAATGCTAGTTTGAATGGGGTCCAGTGCAGGCATAACATCCCATGGGTACACTTGATAGGCTTGGTTCCTAACAAGAGACTATTCCTCCTCACAGTAATGTGGCTGGAAAGGTGAGCGTTGCATCAGTGTTCGCTGGGTGCCCCCCCCCCCCCCCCCCCCAGCAGCGTGACCGATCCTCCAGGAGGATGAAGACGCTTCAGGAGCAGGTTTCCTGGGCTTCTGCACTGCCCCATAGCAGCAGCAACAGGATTCTGGAGGAGGCTGCAGGTTAGATGTAGCCGATCTTCCAGAAACGACGGACTCGCCATAAAATGGGCACACCAGTCCTTTCTGAATGGGGAGTCGGTTTGGACTGAGGCATTGCAGTCGGTTGGAGGAAAAGCCTTAAGAACTGCTGAAACATAAGCAGTCTGGTGCTTCCGTTATAAAAAAAAGTGCCCTGCACTTAAAAATCAAGCAGAAATTATTATTTGATATTCCATTATTTTGATCTCTTTATGCTCTATGTTAAGAGGTTATTGGTTTTCTAACTGTACAAAATATTTCAACTTAGAATTCAATATAAGTATTTCTAAAAATCACTGTTAGAGCTAGGATGTGCCAGCAGAAATGAAGGTAATCCAAGTAAATCCATGAACACCAGGATTTAACAAAATCTGGTTTTGTGCTTTCTGTGGAGGCTTTATACTGTCTGAAACTGAAGCTGAGCTCTTGTTGGAGCCCCTTCTCCACGGAGCTGTTGGAGTGTTTGTCTCTAGGCAGCTGTTACCTGTAGAGCAATCTGCTTAAACACACAACCTGTGTTCAAGGCTAGAATTCCTCATTGTACTTCCCCAGCACTGGTGTTGCTGTTCTGGGAGGCAGTGACATGGTCTGAAGTGCCCATTCTTGCCATGGATCTTTGCATTCATGTTGTCATTGCTGCCATTAGAGAGTCATTAATCCTGCAGGTTTCTCAGGAAGTCTTCATGTTCCAGATCTGAGCTGTTCATGTTCAAACGTCACAGATTTAATAATGTAACATATGAATAAACAACCTTTGGGAGAAAATGTTGGAGAAGTGATTTTTTTTCTGTCGTGTAAGGGAACTTTTACCATACAGTTCCAATTCTTTTGAAAGGGAGCTTTGGAGTCAATGTTCTGGTAATGGGGGTTTGGTTTTCCAGGATAGATAAATTGTTGAGCAGGAAAGGAAAGCAGATGATCTTGTGTTTGACAGATGTTCATTTTAACTTTGTACTGGGCAAACTGTTGTTGAGCCCTTCCAGAGCAGAAAGAAAGGGAAAAGGAGGGATTCAGCCCTGAAACACTAGAGTCTCTTTGACATTTTTTGTCTCTCTGCTATTGAGCAGAGCTCTGAGCTTAGACTTTCCCTTGATTTTCACAGTGACTTCACAGTGAGAGAAGGAGATCCCCTTCAGCCTCTCACTTAGTTCATCATTCACTGAAACAAGAAAGAACTTTGCCAGATTGAGACCCGTTTGCAAGGCACAAACACTCTGTGAGTGTGGGGCAGAGCTGCTCAGTGGCACCAGTGCCCTGGAGATGAGCCCGGCTCCTGAGGCCTGCGTTGGTTCCAGAAGCTGCTGCTGTGCCCGGTGTCACACACTGAATTGTCAGAGCATGGCTGAGGCAAAGGCCTGGCAGGCCAAGCTAGCTGAGCTTCACTGCGATGGGCTCTTGTGCGGCAGCACGCTGGATACAGGCTTACTGGAAACACGACTTCTTGTTTAATTATTTGCTATTTTCACTTGCAGAACCATTTTCAGCATCTGAGTTGGCAATTTTCTAGAACACTGTCTTTTCCTATGCAGTATGATTTTTTTTTTCCCCTTCCCTCTGGGAATTGGGTTGCAAAAACCATCTAAAAAGGATTTATGCATAGTTTTCCTTAATAAAATATGGTTGCTTTTTTAAGACAAGGTTTTAGTGGTTGTGGAATACTACCATTACTATATCAAAACATACCAAGTCACTCCCCAGTAAACACAGTCTTTGGGCTAAAAGCAGAGATCAAACAGATCCCATGTGTGTGCATTGCTATTCTGAAATATGACTTCTCTCCCAAGACTGACTTCAGAAGAGAGAATCCTAAAAAAGGATTGGTCACAGGAATAAATTACTGTGTATGTTTGCCAGAGTTAAGTCAAACATCTCAATTCTTGGCCATCAAAACTAGGAACAAAAGTGAAAGTCAGAATCGTAGTATAATAACTGAGAACATTCTCTAGGAAAAGTTGGTATTATTTTCTGCTTTTAAATATCAGTTGAGTCAGACTTTCACACCACTTCTGGTGTATGAAGGCACCAAGAATCCATTAGATACAGGAGAAAATAAAGTCTTCTCTGATATGCTATTGGATCTTGAAAGTGAATACTGAGGAAGTGAGACGGTACAGAGGGTTTATCTATAGCACCATAGTGTAGTGTGTTTGCAGTAGAAAGAAAAGAAGATCCAACAAGGCTTCATGATTGAAAGCCGATCAAGTTTTTTATACGTACTAAGTATTTTATGCTTAATCCTTGTAATTTCTTTTATTCATGCATTTACCCGTCTGCTTTAAAATAGAGTGCAAACTAGTATTGACATGGATAATGACATCTTAAAGGATTTTACCCATAGAATGGAAGACAAAATTCTGCAGACTGGAGAGTATCCTCCTTCAAATATGGTTAAATAACAGAGAACAGAGTACGCATTATGTTATATTTATAACAAGCCAGTACAAAGTCTGCAATTTTTTTACTCCAATGTTGTAATTGTAATTCAATAGAAACAAGATCATAGTTATCAGTGACTGAAACAATTGTCAGAACATATTTAATGAAAGGCTTAAGCATTTACAGAGTTCTATTTTTTGAGGTCAAGAAACTGGCAGGTAATGTGCATTTCAAAGCCAGCCTATGACAGTCATGGTAGAGCAATCTCCATCTGAAGACTGTTAAACACCATTCAGCAGAGCTGTAAATTTGGTGAAATGTTGTAAAAAGACTTAACAGACTGTAGCTTACTCCAGACACTGGAACGTGTATGTATGTGATTAAGGTACTCCTCTAGCTTTAAACAAGCATTAGAAAGCAAAGATAAATTCAGGATTAAATGTCAAGCATCAGAAAGCAATTTATGTTTTTGCTTAATAGGTTCTTCAAAAATGTATCAGTCTTCCATTCTTAGGACATCTAGAAGGCAGATGAATTTGAAGCCAGACATTTGCTAGGAGCAATATACACTGAATTTGTGAACAGCAGTCCACAAGGAACATCCTCACAAAGGTGTTGCCTGCTATTTGAAGCCCTTTTAAGGTACTCTAATCAAAGAATTCTGCAGTGAGCCAGGATATATGAGGCCTCATCTGAAGGAACTCTATCCTGTTGGATGCCAAACAGGCCAGAAACAAATGTGTTTCCCAGCAATGAAGGGATGTAAAACTTCTCAAGTCAAAGATCCATAGACAAGCTTGCAGAACAATAAACTAATTATTGTAAAATAGATAACATTCAAATATATGAATAATTTCAGTTATTTTCCATTATATTTTGGATTACCATTGCAGTTATTCAATTTTCCAAATAGTACTCCGATAATGATGTAGTTTGATGCGCTTTCTATGCCATTTCATTTTTAGGCTCTTCTACTGTGGCACTGAGTGGAAGGATGCAGGGAAAACACCAGGAAGAATGATGTATAAAACTAAGGAAATCATTGGCATCAATTCAGAATTAATGAAAAGCGTATCCACTTTATAATATGCTTTTACATAGCAAATGCATAGCGTTGACATAGTGTTCAGCAAGTAAGATATAACTGATTTGGTGCTGAAACCAATAGGTATGCTCACACAGACCTCAGGTGAGGCATTTTTCTTAAAGAATTACAAGAACTGACTAGCAGCTCTGCCAACTGGCATGGCACCATATTCCTTATGGGAATGGGGGAGGGGTCTTATTTAGAAAAAACCAGGGAAGTTTCCTGGCACTACAGCTCAGAACAGAAGCTTGGGAATGTGATAATTTTGTCCAGTATAGCCTAAAAGCTCAAGAGCCAGGTGAGTCACACACAGAGGTACTATGAGTGAATGTAAATTTGGCGTATTTAGGTTTGGTCTGTTTGGATTTGCCTGCACCAGATGAGCAGCTTGTAACTGGCACAAATGTTAATCCTGCACATGAACAACAGAAATACAGAACTGAGTAGTGGGCTATTGCACAGAGCTGCTTTGACAGCTCAGACACCAAGTTCTTCTGTAGGGAATAAGGTGAAAGCCTCAGGCTTTTCCAGAAGATTCAAAAGATGGGGCTGGCATTGTGGTCTAGAGAAAGCAAACTGGTGGCAGACAAGCAAGAGCATTCAACTTGCTCATCCCTAAAATGCTGAATGGGCCAAACTGCTGCAACTTGAGCCACAAGGTCAGATCCAAAGGAGCTTTAGACTTACCTGGGGCCCTGGCAGATCAGAGCTCTCAAAACCAAGTAATACTGACCATGTGGAGTGCCACACTGTCCTGGGTTCAGCAGCAGCAGTCATTTTTCTCCTTCTTAGTAGCTGGTGCAGTGCTGTGTTTTCAACTTCAGTCTGAGAACAGCGCTGATAACACTGATGTTTTTGTTGCTGCTCAGTAATGTTTACTCTGACCAAGGACTTTTCAGTCTCATGCTCTGCCAGTGAGGAGGGGCATGAGAAGGCAGGAGGAAGCAGAGGCAGGACACCCAGACCCAAACTAGCCCCACTAGACAGAGCACGTCATGCCCAGGATAGAAACCAGGGGGAATCACCCAGAAGGCCCAGATCGTTGTTTGGGTTGGCCTGGGTATCAGTTGGCAGGTGGTGAGTGGTTGTATTCTCTCCCCTTCTTATTCCCCTTATCGTTATTATTATTGGTGCTAGCAGCAGTGGTTTTGTGTTATACCTTAGTTACTGGACTGTTCTTACCTCAAGCTGTGGGAGCTACATTCTTTCCATTCTCCTCCCCATCCCTTCAGGGGCAGGGGGAGAAAGAAGGTGGGGAGTGAGCGAGCAGCTGCATGGTTCTGATTTACTGGCTGGGCTTAAACCATGATATGTTTGGCTCGTAGGTGCTACTTTAATGCTAGTGATAACAGAGCATGACAATACGTACTGATGTACAATACTGATTCAGACTCAAGACACTTTCCCCAGGTATAAGCGGGATGAGCAGCTGAAGTTTGTATAAACCTGCCAGTTATTGTCAGCTAAGCTAAGGATCACAGCTATGAAATGCCAGGAATTAAAGTTCTGATAACAAATAAGTAATGTTAATTAAATCACTGGGAAATAGAAACCCTACACAATTTATTCGTCATCTCAACTGCCTGACTTAAAAGAATCAGGGAAAAAAATTAAAAATCACATTCTCCTATTCTTGCACAGGAACATCTTAACTATCCTGGAAATAGCATTGCAGTTACTGTTATAGATAGAGAGCTGGAAATGCATGGTCTCCAATAATGAAATTATGATTAGTGAGATTCCTTCCTGCTGGCAAGCACTCACCCACAACCTCACCCATCCATGATGAAAATAACTTTAATTCTTGGTCATTGCAAAGGGGGTGCACAAATAGTTAGTTTCATGGATGGCTACATCAATATTTGGCAAGAATACAAACCCTCTCTTTAGCTGCATGCTAGCCAACCTGTCAGTGCTTATAGTCAAGATTATACAGTCTTTAGGCAAACAAAAGTGCTGAATTCCTCAGGGAGCAAATCTAAATATACCCCTGGGTATATTTAGATGGGAGGCAAGGCCCATAACCTTTGAAAGCCAGGCCTACAGTAGAGTACATTTGAATTATGTCTAGCAAGTAACTTAAGTAGCAGTAATTAACCTGGAGCTTACGAAGAGCCACACAAAGGTAGGGAGCCCCTCTTGTCATGGTACTTGCATTACTTT